CCCCCCCCACACACACACACACACATACACTGTTACACACTCTTATTCCCCCTCCTTTTTTGTCGGCCGATGCTGAGAGCAAATAACATGAACGTACGCCTCTCCCCCCTTTCCCCAACACAACATGAACATACGCCCCTACCCCCTTTCCCGAACATAACATGAACATACGCCCCTACCCCCTTTCCCCAACATAAAACATGAACATACGCCCTACCCCCTTTCCCCAACAAATTTCTGTGAACGAGACGGAAACCGGTCATTTCGTCACACGGTCATCTCGTCACACCCCAATTATGTGTGACGAATTCGCTTATCTCTCCTAAATTGTTATGCAAGTTGAATTTGGGAGGATCAGCATCAGCAGTCTTTATTCCAAACCACCAATTCATGCACGTTGGACCATGTCCTCTTGTTGTTGTTTTAAAGTAATTTAAGCTTAAAGCTTTTTTTTTAGGTTATATAAATTATTAATATAAATTAAATGTTCGTCTAAACTGTTCCATAGTTGAACTGTAGTTCAAATAAGACAAAAACAATGTCCGGTAAAGAGTTAGTACGGCTTTATTTGAAAGTAAAGGTTTAGCTTTTAGCAACATTGCCGTACATTTAGATAATTTATTTTTAACAGAACTAACACGATTTTTCCAATCGCACCTCTCGTCAATAATAATACCTAAAACCAAACAATAATGCCTAAAAACTTTGTTGAACTGACTCAACCTTGTGGATTAGGGGTGTGACGAGATGATTGTGACGTCTAGACTGCATCGGTATGACGAAATGACCGTTTGACAAAATGACTGGTTTTCAGCGAGACGGGGTGGGGGGAGGGGGGTGATAAAGCTGATTATAACAACATTGGGCATGTGAGACACGTTTGATGTAAAAGAACATCAATCACAGCAATATTATATGTACGTGCATGTCTTGTCTCTAAATTGTGCGCGATTGTGTGTTTGTGTGTGTGTGTGTTTGTGTGTGTGTGTGCGCGTGTGCGTGTGCGTGTGGTTGTGCGAGCGCGGGAGTGCTTATATCATGTCCACTCGTTCTCTAACATATTAATAGTTATGTCGCCACCTTCTATTGTCACCTCTATTAACCACTTTGCAACAGTGGGGTGGGGGTGGGGGGGAGGCTACACGTCATGCTATCTCGCTTATTAGTGGACCAACATTTGCCAAAATTTGCACATATAACAAGCATAGTAATGAGTTTTACAACGCACAGTCAAATCTGAGGAAAAAAGTTTCGTTTCTATGGATACGGCGGCCATATTGGATTTGGCTGACATGTATTACGTAATGAACACCGCACTTATTTTTCATGGAAATTGATTGTGGGGGGGGGGGGGGGGGGAGGTGAGTGTGTGTGGGTTTTTTTATTTTTTTTTTTTTTTTTTTGCATGCATGCATGTTACCAAACACTACATCTAAAAATGTGCCTGTTGTTTGCTTTTTTTCCTAAACGAATCAGAAAAATTTTTAATGATTATTTTCCTGACGTAGTATTCAAGTTTGCAAAAAATCCATAAAAATCCACTCTCCGGACACCGCCAAAAAATGTATTCCATGTATCAAAAATTCAACAGACACTGTTTTAGTATTACATGTTCTCTTCATTCTGTGAAAATTTCATGAAGATTGAAGGAAAAATGGTGGAGTTATTTTAAAAAGTAGAGAGAAAAATCGCGTTTTGAGAAAACGGCCGATAAAGAAAAATAGAATATTGACCTTATGAGGAAATGGTGATGACAAACATGCCTGATACGGGGGAAAATAAGGCTTTTAGGGGTTCTTATGTCATAGAATACTTGGAGAGACTGAGGAAGCTAACAATGCCTACAACTTAAATTCCATAATTTTGAGCCGAATCGGGACTTTGGGGGTGTACCCCCCCTCCCCTTTAATATCTTTAGTGGTATGTTTATTTTCAACATATTAAGATGGACGCACACAAAAATGGCCACCCGTGCCTAGGAGAGTGCCCTTTTACAACAGCCTATGAAGGTGAAAAACACTTGCTGGAAAAGATAAATCAGGATTGTCATAAATTCAAAATCTAAAGGATCGACGTAAATAGAATCAAAATTTGTTCCCAAAAATCTGTGTGTGTGTGTGTGTGTGTGTGTGTGTGTGTGTGTGTGTGTGTGTGTGTGTGTGTGTTTGTGTGTGTATGTGAAGGGCTATTCTTAAGTAAACATTTCTGGGCATACAGGGGCTTCTAAATCCAACCTAGAGATTATAAACGATTTTGAAATGGTAATAACTCTACAATATTTTTGAACTATTGTAAACTGCTAAATTGTTTAGGGCCGGGCCTCTACAGAGTCCAATTTCATTTTCGACCCTCGTCAAAGTTGTAAGAGCTTCATTGCAAATTATATGTATATAATGGGAACATTGTTTTATGCCCCTTTGATAGAACCGATCGATATATATATATATATATATATATATATATATATATATAAAAATAGGCTTACCTTTGAACAAGATCATGCCACAGAGTGGTTCCTACACGCTCATTGGTATGGGGGTCAGCTTACTTTCTAAGCTCGTATTTCCGAGAACGCTGACTTGTCACCTCGCCATTGATGAGCCAGAATTGTAGCCAAATTCTTCCTGGCCGGTGAACTTAGATCCGCTATACATTCTACATTCAGACATAAACCTTTTCTTTTAACCTTTTTGAATGCTTTTGTTGTTGTTGTTGTTGTTGTTGTTGTTGTTGTTGTTGTTGTTGTTGTTGTTGTGGATTATTTTTTGTCATCCTTTAGATTGAAATAAAAATGAGGGAATCAATCTCGGGCATAACTGATTCTGGAGTGATAATGCCTACATTCCATAGTTTATTTTTGGAAGAATTAAAGTTTTAACCACAATAATTTTTCAGTAATATAAAAGATTTCTTTTAGACAATCTGTTAAGCGTGTCTTTAATATATTTAATTATATCTTTCTATTTGTCAAAAATTTCAGATTTTCTAAGTTTATGCTAAAATTTATTCCCGAATCTTTCTTTCTCCCCAGGTCCTAACAGTGTGACGCCTTCTCGAGGATTACGTTGATTACCTCTACCCGACGAACAGCCATTGCGTGGTGAAGACACCTGTGATCGTGGCCTGTGATTTGCGACATTTTTTTCCTGCGTTTGTCAACGTCTCGGGTGTTGTTTTCCCCTTGCTAGAATAGCGCGAGTCTGAACCAGCCATGGCAACATCGGTGTGTGGACAGGTTGACTTGATGAGGGGGCATCCCTTTCTGACCACCGACATCAGTAGTGACCTCGCCATTCAAGCACATGTATGTGAACAGTTCCAAAGGATGACCGTCCAATCCAAGAAGTCAGAACCAGAATCTAACAATTGTAATGATGATGTGTTCAGTATCCCGAAAATAAATGAAGTTTGTAAAGACGGTGTGCTGCGTACATCAAGCAAAAGTACACATAGTAATGACGCTGTGTTATGTACATCAATCTCTCGTAGAGCTTGTGATAGCAGTGGGACATACGATTCTTGTTCAAGCAAACTGAAAGAAAAGCACACAAAAGTGAAAGAAATCACGTTTGCAAAATTCCGTGAGTGTTATGAGCCTACGGGACAAAATCTGGGCAGAGGGGCACATGGATCCGTCTACTCCTTCCAGAACCGCGAATCAGGGGCGGAATATGCCGTAAAAATAATCAAGACTCGCGACAATAAGAGCCGCAGGAAAGTTAAAAAAGAAATCGACATTTGTCAACGGTACAATAACTACGACAATTTTATCAACCTTGTGGAATTCTGTGAGGTTGGAAGTTCGTTCTTCTTAGTGTTTGACAAGATGGAGGGAGGAGACCTTGGCCGGGTGTTGGAATCCCGTGGTCATCTAAGTGAGACAGAAGCAGCCCGAATCATCAGCACCATCGCTCACGCCCTCCATACGTTGCACAACGACGGTGTGGCCCATAGGGACATTAAACTCGAAAACATCCTATGTAAAAAGTCAGGGGAGGTCACCCCGCTCGTTGTCGGTGATTTCGGGATTGCCAGTGATCCCCCTTCAGAACGTGACCCTTCAAAAGGAGACTTAACGAAGACCGCTCTGACGTCTCCTGCAGGAACCCGTCTTTACATGGCGCCCGAGGTTTTCGCTTTGTTGCGCGTGGAGTCTCTGGCGTCCTACGACACCCGCTGTGACATGTGGAGCCTAGGGGTTCTGATCTACAAAATGCTTTTCGGCGTAATGCCCTTTCGCCGAGGCTGTGACGAGCACCGTAGATCAATGGATCTTTCATGCGATGCCTGCGAGGTCGTCTTGTACCAGGACATCCGTCACGGGGACTACCGCTTTCCAGAGAATGCTGGAGAGTCGTATTCAAACAGCGCCTTGGATTTGATTCAACATCTCCTGGTTGTTGACCCACAAGCCCGCTACTCGGCCGCGGAGGTTCTTCAGCACCCCTTTCTGACTATCAACATGAGTGGTGACCTCACTATGCCAGCATCGATGTGTGGATATGGCGACAGGATGACTGCTCAATCCAATAATGATGTGCCTAGTGCTCTAAAAACTGACGCTACCTTTAACTCCGGTGTCTTGCGTACTTTTGACACAAATGCAACCAGTAGTGATGACAGTTTTTTCTGGGCTTTGAACTCATATGAGACCTGTTCTAGCAGTGGGACATTTGATTCCAGTTGAAGCAAAGTACAAACACGTACAAGTAAAACAAAACCATTTTGCCAATTTCCGGGACAGTTATGAACCTACGGAACAAATACAGGGCAGCGGGGTCATGGGTCCGTTACACCTACCAGAATAGGGATTTGGAGACTAAAGAGGCCGTCAAAATAATTAAGAAGTTTGATGAAAACAGCAATACTAAAGTTTTGTATAGATTGGCATTTACTAACGTTACATTCGGCGTGAACACCGTCTGGTTGCTGGCCCTCAAGCCCGCTACTCGACTGCCGAATTCCGGCAACAACCTTTTCTGACCGACAACAACGTTAGTTAGGTTTGAACAATGATCAGTATTTGAAACTGACTATAATTCTAATCTCATAAACTTGACCAAACCCAAGTGTTGCACTATCGATGAACATACAATTTCCTTTCTCCCTGGTCTTAGAGCACATATATAATAAACGTGGCTAATGGTTCGTGATAGAGACTAATTTCCTTATGGCCAGTCATAAACTGAATAGTTGTCTGCAGAGTTTTGGAAAGAAGGAGCAAAGTTCGAATAACAAAATTCCTTGGATTTGTCTCCTGTTTCACACATCGACTCGGGCAATACAAACAACTTTATAGTACCTGCTTCAGAACACCAGAGTCTTTCTACCACAGACATAGAAATACCATTCCCAGCACAAAGTGTACCTAACGATATTATGTGACATAATTCATGGGTCCTGCTTGTCACGATGACACATTTTTGATGAAAGAGAAGATGATGATAACCGAAGGAAAGAGGACTAGCGACAATTTATTATGCTCTTCGTCTCAGTGCACCTCACCCTCACCAGACTTATATCTGTAAATAAAGACATTATTCAAAGAAATATTCTTTTTATCTGCATGTTCATTTTTATCATTATGTAGATAATTTGTTTGTCTGAGTGAATGTTTATTCTTCTTTCCTTTTCACTTATTTCTTTTCCTTCGTCGTCGGCTTGCCGATCTGTTGTCTTTCACCTTTCATTGTTTGTTAATTCCTCTTTGATCAAAATATTCCCAATTTGCCAATCGGCATATCTATATCTGACTATGTGTCTCACTGTAACCTTCTCCTTTCATGGTTTTTGTATGTCTCTTTAGTCAGATCTGTTAGAATGTATGCTAGTCACCAATGTCTGTACATTTTACTATATAATGCCTGTCTTTCTATTTTCTTTATTCTTTGCTTGTTGTTGTTGTTGTTGTTGTTGTTGTTGTTGTTGTTGTTCTTATTCATGCTGTTGTTGTTGTTGTTGTTGTTGTTGTTGTTGTTGTTGTTGTT